GGCAGCATGGAATTATTCATCCCTTGCTTGTGCCTGTTGCAGAGTCCCTGCCGTCATGGACACGTACATGCACGAATAATGCACGAAATGCTGCAGTCAGCCGTGTGTAGCCTNTTCTAGGCGTTTAGGGTTTCAAGGACCCTAAAAACCCTAGAAACACTAGCTATCACCGCAAAAAGCAGCTATTCAACGACTAGCATCGGTTGAGTAGATCGGTGAGGTTTTGGTTGTTGGCTGTGACCATGGATGGCACTCGTGCATGCAGGATCTGCATTTTCTGAGAGACACAGCGCGACGAACACTACAAATATGTAGCACATGTAGCCGACAGGGGAACGGTTGCCTCCACCTAAACCAGAGCCTAACAGGACACGTACATAACCAAATACATGCACGCAGCAAGCAGCCAATCACAACCGCATTGACGTGCCAATATCCAAGACTGCTGCCAGGTGCAACGTGAAGCGACCGACTAGTGGCCAGTGAGATGCAAGTGGGTGCCGACATCCGGGCCTAACAGGGGTGAATTTTATTGCCACCAGTGCTGCCGCCGCTGCACATGCCTGGACCAGCCCCCAGTTCATTGTTGTCGTGGCCATGCTAGCGGCTGCTGCATCAGCAGCCAGCGAAACGTTGCCATCAGAATCATTGTGCTGCATCCCTCTCGTACATGTGCTTTCGTTCAAGCCAAGGCTGCGTAAGGATAGCACCCACCACCCAAAAGCCACAAGCCACAAGGAATCAGCCAGGCGAGTGATTATAATCAGCCAGGCATTTACATTCATACTTGTTGAAGTCCCCTTACACCACCACAGATTGCGCGTCACGTCGCGCTATCGGCAAGCAGGTATGTATGGTCACACAGATATGCATGGTCACACAGATGTGTATGGTCACACAGATATGTATGGTCACACAGATATACACTTCCTGGCCACATGCCCGGGAAAAATAAAGAGCTAATGAGGCGGGCATGCGTTGGCTGTAGATGTGGTGTATACGTATTTGGCCCAATCGTCGGGGGTGCGTGTGTACGCACGTCCTGTACGATTTGTACGTGTACGGTGTACGGTGTACGGCAAATTCTTGCCACGCGCGAAGCTGCATGTCTGTGTGGGTGTGGCGCAGTGGTTAGCGCGTAGGTCTCATAGCTGTTATCGTGCTGTGACTTGGACTATCCTAAGGTCGAGGGTTTGACACCCTCCACCCACAACCGCTCGTGTAGCTCAGTGGAAGAGCACCCGTTTAGTAAGCGGGAGGTCTCGAGATCAAAACTCGACATGAGCAGCACATCGCTCTTGCGCGGGACATATCCGCTCTGGCTTTTCCATAACATGATCCATCCTGGTGTGTACGTGTGCGTGTATGTATGTGTGTGTACGTGTACACGTTGGTGCATGTGTACATGGGGTATTTGGTCGTAGCTAGCCAGAACATGCATGCCGGGACAGCACAGCAGCAACACGAAGGCGGCAGCATGGAATTATTCATCCCTTGCTTGTGCCTGTTGCTGGTCCCTGCCGTTGGACACGTACTCGTAATGCACGAAATGCTGCAGTCAGCCGTGTGTAGCCTTTTCTAGGCGTTTAGGGTTTCAAGGACCCTAAAAACCCTAGAAACACTAGCTATCACCGCAAAAAGCAGCTATCAACGACTAGCATCGGTGAGAG